AAAGGGCCTGGCAAGGTGCAGGCCACTCCCCAACCACAGAGGAGAGCCTCGCAGCATGGCCAGCACTGTCCTGTCCCTGAAAAGCAGTTGCACAGTGCATGCATGGAGGCCAGAGTTTACTGTGACACTCAGTGAAAACCTGGAACCAGGCTATTAGCTATGTGCAACTCGGTCCCCCATTCCATCCTGTCCCAGAAAAGCAATCAGAAAGAGGCTTGAATCTACTGTGGCAGACACTGAAAATCAGCAGATGCTTTGTCTGTGATCTACCTGTCTCTGCTCTCTGCTCAGCTCTGCCACAGAAAAGCAGCTACTCCGCGTGCACAAAGAGGTTTAAGCCTACTGTGGCTCATGGTGAAAATTTAAGAGGTTTTCTGCCTTTCACACACACATCTGATCCTGCTGTTGAGCACTGCTCAATGGCTCCTGGCTGGACTTTTGTCCTTGGAGATGCAAAATATGCTCTTTTTTTTTTCTTTTCAGCGTAACGGAATTCATTGTTTTTGCACCACATCCAGTGCTCCATGCAATACGTGCCCTCTCTAATACCCACCACCTGGCTCCCCCAACCTCCCACTCCCCGCCCCTTCAAAAACCCTCAGGTTGTTTTTCAGAGTCCATAGTCTCTCATGGTTCAGCTCCCCTTCCAATTTCCCTCAACTCCCTTCTCCTCTCCATCTCCCTATGTCCTCCATGTTATTTGTTATGCTCCACAAATAAGTGAAACCATATTAATTGACTCTCCCTGCTTGACTTATTTCACTCAGCATAATTTCTTCCAGTCCCGTCCATGTTGCTACAAAAGTTGGGTATTCATCCTTTCTAATGCAGGCATAATACTCCATAGTATATATGGACCACATCTTCCTTATCCATTCGTCCATTGAAGGGCATCTTGGTTCTTTCCACAGTTTGGTGACCGTGGCCATTGCTGCTATAAACATTGGGGTACAGATGGCCCTTCTTTTCACTACATCTGTATCTTTGGGGTAAATACCCAGTAGTGCAATGGCAGGGTCATAGGGAAGCTCTATTTTTAATTTCTTGAGGAATCTCCACACTGTTCTCCAAAGTGGCTGCACCAACTTGCATTCCCACCAACAGTGTAAGAGGGTTCTCCTTTCTCCACATCCCCTCCAATACATGTTGTTTCCTGTCTTGCTAATCTTGGCCATTCTAACTGGTGTAAGGTGGTATCTCGATGTGGTTTTAATTTGAATCTTCCTGATGGCTAGTGATGATGAACATTTTTTCATGCGTCTGATAGCCATTTGTATGTCTTCATTGGAGAAGTGTCTGTTCATATCTTCTGCCCATTTTTTGATATAATTATCAGTTTTCTGTATGTTGACTTTGAGGAGTTCTTTATAGATCCTGGATATCAACCTTTTGTGTGTACTGTCATTTGCAAATATCTTCTCCCATTCCGTGGGTTGCCTCTTTGTTTTGTTGACTGTTTCCTTTGCTGTGCAGAAGCTTTTGATCTTGATGAAGTCCCAAAAGTTCATTTTAGCTTTTGTTTCCTTTGCCTTTGGAGACATATCTTGAAAGAAGTTGCTGTGGCTGATATCAAAGAGGTTACTGCCTATGTTCTCCTCTAGGTTTCTGATGGATTCCTGTCTCACGTCGAGGTATTTTATCCATTTCAAGTTTATCTTTGTGTACGATGTAAGAGAATGGTCAAGTTTCATTCTTCTACATATAGCTGTCCAATTTTCCCAGCACCATTTATTGAAGAGACTGTCTTTTTTCCATGGTGTATTTTTTCCTGTTTTGTCGAAGATTATTTGCCCATAGAGTTGAGGGTCCATATCTGGGCTCTCTACTCTGTTCCACTGGTCTATGTGTCTGTTTTTATGCCAGTACCATGCTGTCTTGGTGATCACAGCTTTGTAGTAAAGCTTGAAATCAGGTAACGTGATGTCGCCAGCTTTATTTTTGTTTTTCAACATTTCCTTAGCAATTTGGGGTCTCTTCTGATTCCATACAAATTTTAGGATTATTTGCTCCAGCTATTTGAAAAATACTGGTGGAATTTTGATCGGAATGGCATTAAAAGTATAGATTGCTCTAGGCAGTAGAGACATTTTAACAATGTTTATTCTTCTGATCCAAGAGCATGGAATGGTCTTGCATCTTTTTGTGTCTTCTTCAATTTCTTTCATGAGTGTTCATCAAATGTACTACAGGAGGGAGAGCTATCTTTCCCAGGGCGACCCAGGCAATCTCCTCACTGCAGCTTATCCTGAGGTCCCTATCCTGTTGTCCCTATCTCTCACGTTCTCCCTCTCCCTGACTGTGCTCCACACAAAGGGTTCCCTTCCCATCACGGCCACGAGGTTTTCCTCTCCAATTCACAGCTCTAAACCTCATATTTACTGCGTTCTCTCCCTCTGCAGAGATTATTTCCTTAATCCTCAGATCATCTTCCTAGTTGTTCACAATAGCTGGATGTTGGTTTAGCTGTGATCAAAAGACAAGGCAAACACAGGGTAACCCTACTACTCCACATTCTTAACTACCTCCACACCAGTTACTATGACATCCTTAGTCTCCTTTTATAGCTGAGACACAGGGACTAACATGGATTTAGATAAGAAAATTGATCAAAGCCCCGGGGTCATTAAAGTAGCAGATTGGGGATTAGGGAGATGGCAGATTGGTAGCGTTTGAGTACTAAGTGGCCGCAGACACCACATGCACAGGTAATGAAACCTCCTATTCTCAAATGCTATTAGAGAGTCATAGGGAGTTACTCCAAGAATCACAGCTATGGAACTGTTTGTTTAAAATAACCTTTTGTGAATTAAAATTTGTTTCCACTCTGAAAAAGTAATCTCTTTGTAATCAGAGGTTTCCAAAATGTGTTTCCCACCTTTCCATTGAGTCCTCAACCTTTTTCAGTTGTATCTAGCATCCCAGAAGCTTAGAATTAAGGGTTGTGGGTACAGGTTCTGATGCAATTCTCTCACTGTTAACACGGGGAGGATATTAGTACCTGCCTCACTGGAGGTTTTAAAGACTAAGAGAGAGAATATACCTCACCCACTAAGCAATAATGTAGCCAACCACACAGTTATAACAGGTACAATTCTAAGAACTTTACATGGACTAACTCCTTAATACGCAAAGTAAATGTACAAGGAAGGTACTCTTAGGATCCTCATTTTACAGACGAGAAAAAGAGTTTAATGAACTTGCCAAACATACAGAGCTGATATCAGAGCCAGGATTCTAACCCCAAGTTCATGTTCTAAACCATGACACTGTACAGCCCCTACTCTGCCGACAGTGAGGGTTTAATAAAATGTTAGCTCTCTAGACAGCTCACTCAAGGTTCACAAGAAGAGGCCTTACTAACTTAATCACCGGATCATCAGAAAGTGAGACTGGTTTCTAGTCTTCCCCACAGCATGAGAAGACAGCAGGTTTGCTGCTGGGTGGTTGTAAGGACAGAGTCAGTTTACCAAGGCTGGCCTGGAACACCAGCTCTGCAAGCATCCAGAGTGAGCAGCGTGGGTGGCGGGGTGGGTAGGGTTACTTCACAGCCAAGAGCTCAATTTTCTAGTTCAGGCTCTGCCACACATTTTCTATGTGACCTTGATCACAGCATTTAACTTGTATTGCTTCAGTTTCTCTTCTACAAACCAAGGGTAAAAGACAGAATGACTGGAATGGCTCTGAAATTTCAGGATTCTAGGACACAGTCTGAACAAGTATCCCTGCTAAAATGCCAGTGGTGCAACGTGCCAGTGGACTACTCATACTTCATACAGTGATGAAGGCATTCAGAACTCCTTCTTAATATTTATGGTGTACAAGAAAATTGTTCGGGGAGGATGTTTCAGAAAAGGAAACATCCTTTTTCCTTTTCCTTCCTGAAGACAAACAATTTTAAGTGTCATAATTTTTTTTCAAGGATAAATAGTGATTGATGTCCATATTAGTTGTCCTAATTGAATTCCAAAAAAAAAAAATTCCTCTTGGCCAAAAAGGACCTGAGATACTCTGTGCTTCCGAAGGACAAAAATGAATCGGGAATCTCAAGTGAATTCTTCCTAAAGAACAAGACAATTTAATTGGCCATATGTGAAATACCTACTTGGAAAAGTAGTTACAAATAATTTTACTGTGGACTCCCTTCCTTACCATCCATTTGTATATTTGGTGCCATTAGTTTTCCATTTACTGCTGCAAAAAATTACCACAAATTTAGCAGCTTAAAACAACACAAATTCATTGTCGGACAGTTCTGTAGGCCACCAGTTTCACTAAGCTAAGATCACACTGTTGGTAGAGATGCATTCTTTTCCAGAGGCTCTAGGAAGAAGTTTGTTTTTGTTTTTTTCTCTGGCTTCTAGAGGCCACCCTAGTACTTGGCTCCCAGACCCTTCCTCCATCTTCAAAGCTAGCAGCACAGCATCTCTCTGACCCCACTTCCATCACCACATCTCTTTGACTCTCTTCTACATCCCTCTTCCACTTTAAAGGACCTTGTGATTACACTAGGCCCACCCAAATAACCCAGGAAATCTCCCTGTTTTAAGGTTAGCTGACTGTCAAACCTTATACCATTTGTAACTTTAAATCCCCTTTGTCATGTAACCAAACACACTCATGGCTTCCTCAATTAGAATGTGGACATTTCCGGGGGAGGGAAGATGCATTATTCTGCCTACCACCATCACTTCCCTCCCTCTGTTGTCCTTCAGATGCAATAAACTCAGGGAAGAATATATATAAATACTTTGCCAAATCAAATAGGGACTGGAAAATAAAGTCACTCCTGTCTTCCCCTCCTTCACTTCCTTTGAACTACAGGGTATACAGATTCCAAAGTCTAAAGAGGTTCATGTTTACGTTGGTCATCATTGCCCATTATTTGCTCACTTGCTCTATAGTATTTACATAGTATTTGACATTTGACAAGATTTTCTTTAACTTTTTTGGGGGGTAAATTAATCAGTTTGTTATGTTTTTGTAGTACTTAGGACACAGTGATGTCATCCCAGGCAACAACCCAGCCCCGAATATATGAAACCGTACTCAATCCTTACCCGCCAAACAACATCATGGCTCCTGGGTTTCAACAACCTGTGGGTTTCACACACCTGGGAAACCAAGCTCAGAGTGGCCAGCCTCCCTTCCTCAGGTCTCCAGGAATCATCACAAACAGTCATCAAGGTCAAGGAAATACAGAGGTGGTAAACCCAGCTATGGGAACAGCAATCACAAACTTAAGAGAAGAAGCAAAGGTATTAGGGGTAAGTCTACTTACTATGAGAATTTTAATTTTGCACTTGCAAGGTTATATTGTACCTATAAGTAATAGGTGGAGAAAAGTTTATGATCTCATGACCTACATCCAATCATTAAAAAGTTCTGAACGTTAATGGAAACTGTGTCCCTTTAAGGCAGAAATAATTCATCTGCATATAGACTTTACCCTGAGTTCAATTTATTTTAGATTCTAGCAAGACTCTAACAGGTGACAAAGTACTCTTCCGAGCAGGATGATTCAGTAACACTGACATTATGGAAACACCGCTACTTCTAGCTTGATCTCACTTCTGCAAAGGATACTTTGGGCACCCTCAATCCCGTCTCAGATTAGTTGCAAGCCTGGTATTTGTGTATACAGGTAAATTCACATTAAAATGAACATTGGTAGCTGCCTTAAAAACAGAAGCAACTATCAATGAGCAGTCTGGGGGGACTGGGTGGGGAAGAATTCACGGCCATTCCATCTGCTGTGCCTATCACCCAGGGCCTGTGCAGACATTATGACTTAACTGCCATTCTACTTCTACAAAGAGCACTTCAAACACTCATAATCTTGTTTATGTAAGAATTACAAGACATGCCCTACTTGTAGATGAAGATTCCACCTGCACAGAGAGAACTGTTAGTTTTTGCTGTGCTTTCCAGATACGCCATTCATGCCACTAACAATTCCACCCCACAGTACTGTCTCTCCTGTGTGCAGTTCTAACTTCTCTGCTAGAGCATTCAGTAGGTTATACTGAGTGCCCCTTACGTACCAGAAGCTCATCCAGTCATCTTAGTACTACTCAGTAAGTACTTACTACTATTTCAGGTTTCACCACTTTAGAAAAGTAAAAATGAGCATTGCACTCTCTAGCAGACAGATCTAGGCTGTGGGCGGGAGGCGGGTGGCCCCTTTGATTCTCCTCCTGGCAGAGAAAGGAAATCCCCTGCTCCCACTGAGCAAAGGGACAAACTGGGACCCCACAAAGCCAACCCCACACAGGTGTTAGGAATACGACAGAGAACAAAACAGGCACGATAACTGCCCTCATCTAGATCAGAATCACAGGCTCAGACTATACACATAAAACAGAACTAAAGTACACGATGTGTTAGAAGGTGATAAATGATGTGGACAGAACAAAGTGTAAAAGGGCTGGTTAGTACCAGGCAGTGTCCTTAGAAGATGACATTTGAGCAAAGACATGAAGGGAAGAGCAAGCAACGCAGATACCAGGACGAGAGCTTCCAGGCAAAGTTGGGAGGATCGTTAGAGGAAAATGTGGGTGCTGTGTTTGTGAACAGGGAGGAGGCCAGTAAAGTAGAACAGTATGATGGAGGGAGGTTGTAGCCTCAAGGAGAGCAGAGGAAGGGTGGGGGCCAGACCCTGTGAGTCTGGAAGACAGAAGTCCTGGCCGTACTCTAACACTGGAGCATTCTGCCTGGCAATGAAGAGGTACTCAAGAACAGCACTTTAAAGTGACGGATGCCATTTTATTTTTAAAAGTTCCAGCTGGCAGAATACTCCTCCCTAAAGATTGTACACTTATGCTATTAGTAGCTTCCAATCACCACAACAATGCAGGGACTTTAGGTGGTAGGATGGGGAGCATCTGCCTTAATTGATTCAGAACTCAAAGTGGTTCAGTGGCCAAAAGTCCAAATTACTGTCTGGCCTGCAGGCAAGTTTGGTAAGTAAATGGTAGAGCCAGCATTATACTAGGAGAAAAGTAAGCCAATACTAATCTGGCCATCAACTGCCATCAAGATGAAGGCAAGGATGAGAATAAGAAGTCTTTGGCCAGATGACTGAATTGCTGCTCTAAGGAAGAACTTGTAACAACTGATTATAATGCCTAATTCAGGAGTTCTTCAACTGAGATCCATGACTGGCTTTAGCCTGTGACACCTCTGAAGTCCTGTGCAACAGTGTTGTGTGTGTATGTACGGATGTGTAACAAGATTTTGTGTGTCTGTATGAATGTGTGATGAGAGTTTTTCAAAAAGATTCATAGTTTTTATTATTCTCAAAGAAATTCATTACTCAAAGAAAATATTAATCTCTTAGCATTATTTAGGAAGCTGTGATTTTTTCCAACTGTTTCAACTTAATAACTGTATTCAGTAGCAAGTTATTAAAGAAATAAACACAGCAATGTTTGTATTTGCAGTCTTCTTGGACAGATAAGATGTAAGCTTGGGAAGAAACTGAAGGTAAACCTGCAGTTAGCTTCTGGCCCAAACTAGAAGCACTTATTTTTCACAAATATGTTTATTCAGGATGAAATAAGGTGCCCTAAGAGGTACAAAATAGATCTCATCTTTGAGAATATGTCTTGGCCAATAAGAAAATATTTGCATGCCTGCAATTAAAAAAAAGAACAATATAAATTCTTACAAAACCAAGTAATAAGATGTCGAATTTATATAAGATAAAACAGAAGTTTAGAAAGAGAAAAGATAGCTGAAATTGACTAATATAATCAAGACAACTTCATGGAAGAGCTGGAGATGAGCCCGAGGGAAAGCCGTATTTAATAGTTAAAAGTCATTAAATAGTCATTAACTATTTAATAGTTAAAAAGTCAAGTTCTGGAATCAATTTGTTGCCCCTCAGTAATCCTATGGACACTGCTATGCTCTGAATGACATCCCAAAACTCCTATGTTGAAATCCTAACCCTAACAATGATAGTATTAGGACATGGGCCTTGAGGAGGTACTTACTAGTAGAAGGTAGAGCTCTCAGGAATGGGCGTATGAAAGAGGCTCTTCAGAGATCATGAGCCCTTCTCCACTATGTGAGGACACAGTGAGGAGGCACCATTAGGAGCCAGGGGGAGGGCCCTCACTAGAAGGCAACCATGCTGGTACTTTGAACTTAGAACCTCCCAGCCTCCGGAACTGTAGCAAAACATTTCTATTGTTTATAAGCTACCCAGAGGGTAGCGCAGTACTTTCTTGTAGCAGCCTGAGAAGACGGAAACAGGCATCTCTGTGTCTCTATCCAGCTGTTGGGAAGATTACATGAAATAATAAATGTGAAGTGTTGAGACTGCTCTCAAACATGTAGTTAACCTCTTGAGACTTCCTTCATGATATTTTCCCCATTACTAGGATCTCCCAAGCAGAGAACAGGTCTGTCTGAAACAGCCATCAAAGTCACAGTTAAAGCATTTTTTCAGAGAGTCTTTTAGAGGCTCTTCAGGGACACCAATGCATGCTTAATCAGCAGCACCTTCTGAAGAGCTCTCCTTGGCCACCCTTACAAGCCACCCCAAACACCTCAAACGAGGCCCATGAGGAGGGCCCTGTGCCAGTGTATGCCAAAATCTTCATGGCTCACCTCCTGCTGTAAAGGTATGTACGCCTAAAGGACATTCGTGGATCTTGACAGAGGGTACAATAAATAAGCAGCAGCAGCAATGTCAGTAATGTCTCATTAGTGACTGTAAATGAAGAAACAACTTTAAAATGTCTGTTTTCTTTTTTCAGGCAATCCAGATCATGATTGGATTGATGCACATTGGTTTTGGAACTATCTTGGGTTTCATGTACACTACTTATGGACCAGTTTTCGGATTTGCATCCCTTGCTGTTATTAGTGGATATCCATTCTGGGGTGGCATCTCTGTGAGTAAGCTGCTACAACACTTATCCATCTCAGTTTATTGAGGACAGCTACCCCTAGCCTATGCGCAACTCATTTTCTGATCAGCCTCACATCTGATCAGCTGAAAAATTGAGAAATAACAGCTCTGTTTGGGTATAAATAAGGGAGAGCTTCTGCTCTCCATTTTAACCTGTGGCTTAAACTCATACCCTCAAGTTTACTCTGATCCAGTAACCAAGAAGCCAAAGTTTTAGTTCCTGATTACATTTAAGATGGAAATGTATGCATTGGGTAGAGAGGGGCAAAAGGAGGTGATGGGGAGCATGATTAAAACTATGCAAGTGATCATGACAAGAGACTGAGCTACGAGTTCACAGACCATCAGCAGAAGGTAAGCTCACAAAAGAATGAGCTCCTTACATGCAAGAAACTAAGGGGAGAAAAAAGGGAGAAGTCAAATGGACACAATTTATGAAGATTTCTCCAGAAAATTGGAGAAGTATGAGAGGAATTTTTTTTTTTTAAATATTGTATTTATTTATTTGACAGAGAGACACAGCGAGAGAGGGAACACAAGCAGGGGGAGTGAGAGAGGGAGAAGCAGGCTTCCCACCAAGCCGGGAGCCTGATGCGGGGCTCGATCCCAGAATCCTGGGATCATGACCTGAGCCGAAGGCAGACGCTTAACGACTGAGCCACCCAGGTGCCCCTGAGAGGAATTTTTTGATAGGTAAACTAGATGAATATAAATATACCAGTCTTTCCTACAAAGAGAGAAGCTCCCAGGACTGAAGAACCCATCTTTCATAAATAAATGTGTCTGTTTCTACAGTTCATTGTTACGGGTACTCTCTCTATACTGGCGTCCAAGAAGCTTTCTCCTTGTCTGGTAAGTCAGAATGTTGCTACTTATTAAACTCTTCTGAAGATTCATTTAATTGATTTGGAGAGGAAAATTGAGAAAGTGGATTCAGCAAATGCAAAGGGGAGCACTTTTTCCCAAAGCTATTTCTACTGATTGCCTCCATGGTATGCATGCCTCAGCATGGTCCACAAAATTTGCCCCTCGGAAATGCCCCTTCTGATTCTTCAATCACAAAAGTGAGAAGTGGTATAGATAAGGTTGTTGAGCTTTACCCTAAAGGCTACCTGGCTCAGTCACACTGAATTAGGGGAAGCCCAAAGCAGAATATAGGAGCCAGGAAATACCCACCTGCCACTTCACTATCAAAGACTCTATTATTCATTTGCCATTTCTCAGTTCTGCCTTGGTTTGTATTTTTATTTTTTATTTGCACATATCTCCTATTTTTACTCAGATTTGACTTTTGTTTTACAGTATGTTAAATCATCACTAAAAGCACCAACTGGGTACACAAAAAGAGTTTATAAAAATAATCGCTGAGACAGGTCTCTCAATTCTCCTGGTCACAGCTCTCCAACTTTTGCAATTTCCTGGTTTACTTCTGAAACAGGAGAAAGAAAATGATTTGCCAAGAAATAGTGACAACTAGAGCAGAGGTGGTTTCAAGATTATATTTATTCCAGCACAAGAGGAAAGAATGGAAAAATGGGAACACAGAATCACGCTGTTCATGTTCTCCTAGATACCAGAGACTGGACTAGAGGCTAGAACAGACACTAAACTAGACACTAAACATTAAACTAGAGACTAGACTAAAAACCAGGCTAAACTAAACTAAATCAGCCTAATCCCAATTAACCACTTCTATTGTAATAAAAAAAAAAAAAAAGTAGACCATCCTTCTCTGGACGATTTACGGATCCTTCTGATGTTGTCCCAGCACAGAACGTGTCAGAATCTTCTTGTAGAAACAGGAAAGTTTTGTACTCTACCCTACACTTCTACCCACAAAAGCCTAATGAGTTCCTCATTCTAAATCTGGATTTTTTAATCTAGTCCCTAGAAAGACTTCAGGGTTTTCATCAATTTCTAATTTTCTCAGCAAAGATGTTTTTGCATACATACTTTTCCATCTATAAAACTGGATGCTACATAGTATTACATCATATGGTCATTGTAAGACCTTCATGAGATACTGTATTTAAATGATTTAAACACAGCGCCTGTCACAGAAAAATGCTCATTAATGGTTTATTTGTTGTTTTATTACTTTAAAGGGGAAAAATTGTTATTGTGTGTGAGGCTTTTAGGCAACCCCGACAGATGAGCTTCTGCTTTGTATTATTTACATTTTTTTACAGATTTCAGAAGTACACTACATTTAGGCTGCATACAGAGTAGTTTTCATGAAAACTCAGAAAGGCAGAGGAAGAAAAGTCATTTCAACTTCAAAATTTTTTTTCAAGATTTCAAAGATTAAGAACCATTACATTAACTGTTTCTTACTTATTCAATTTTTTTCTCCTATATGATTTGTTTTTCCTGTCATCTCCATTAGATCAAAAGCAGCTTAGGAATGAACATTGTCAGTACTATCTTTGCCTTCCTTGGAGTGATTCTGCTGCTGGTGGATGTGAGCATCAATGGCCAACCCAACCAAGACTACTGGGCAGTTGTAAGTATCCCATGATCTACCATGTGCCTCCCCTACACTCTCACACAGAGGGTCCATTTTTTTTTAACCTCTCATGACTGTATAGTAGCCCTAGTGGAAAATCCCTTTTTCTATTCCAGCCCTATTCCTGATCATGTTCTCTAGAACTGCAGAAAAAGTGGGAGAGCTATCTCTACAGACGAACTAGGGCAGAAAGGACATCCTTTATTGGTCTCACATGAACAATGGGGGACAACACCTAAGGACACTTAAAGATACCCAGATAGAATTTTCCAAAAATTTTAAACTCTATGTAAATAAGATAGTCAATTTATTACATAGTTTTATTTTAGAGTAAGTATGGGATGAGGGGTAACTGGCTACAACAAGGACATTTCACTTTTATTAGAGAAACTCAAAGAATGAAGCAACTTCAAAATGCAACACGTGCCTCTCAATGTTCTCAAGACAGAACTGTCCATTCATAATCACATTAGACAAAGCACAGACTCTGACAATTACCCCAAGAGAGGAGAAAGTGTACAGAAGCACTTATAATAGGGCAAGAATATGAGGCAACTTCTTGGTAAGTAAGAAGGAAAGAAGCAAGAACACAAAATTTATCCTCTATAATACCAAACCAAGAAACAAAAATTACTCAAAAACTACCTTTTAAATTAGCATCCAAGTAAAAAACCAAATGAGTCTGCTGTGTCTCGAGGTGGCAGAAGAAAGTACATCGCCTGATCCTGTCTTTTATTCCCCAGAAACAAAACTAAGAAAAGCAGGACACCAAAAAATACGGACAAGTCTCACTAAGGCTCTCTAAGCTGAGCTAAGAAGACTTAGGCGGAAAGCAGCCAGTTCTAAGAAAGTATAAAGCAGGGGCATCTGGGTGGCTTAGTTAAGCGTCTGACTTTGGCTCAGGTCATGATCTCAAGATCCTAGGACTGAGCTCTGCATCCAGTTCACCACCCAACCAGGAGTCTGCTTGTCCCTCTTCCTTTCCCCTCCCTTTGCTCGTGCACTCACTCACTCTAATAAATAAAATCTTTAAAAAAACAAAAAAGAAAGAAAGTATAAAGCAAATCCTGAATGGCAAAAGTCCTTGTGTAGCACCCCAGGACCTCAAGAAAAGTAAAGCACCAGAATTAACATCTTTCAGAACCCCCTTGATAACGTGGAGAAAATAGCAGAAATCCATAGGAACAGAATATACCTCTGGTCTTGTAGCAGGTCTTAGTATAGACATTTCTCAAAAGAAAGAGAAAGCGAAGTCTACATCCAATAGCAAGAATTGTGCTCAGTGCCAGCTAAGTCATCTCTTTCACTGCTACAGCTGCATGGTTAGCATTCAGTAAAATGAACATAAAACAGTATCTGCCTCTGAAATTGAAACTGGAAACAAGAAAGACAAAATCAATGTAGTTAAGTAGAAACACAATCAAGGAAAACTTGCCTATACCATATCCAAACAAAAGTAAAGCCTGTATATAGTTGTTCACTTTAAGAACGAGAAAATTGAAAAAAAAAATGGTAGGCAAACTATCCAAATACCTTAGAGTGACTAAAGGAAGAAATGAAAGGATAAAGGAAAAAGGAAAGAAGATTTAAGATTCCCATGGGTCAGCAGAAACACTCAGATGCCTATTGCTTATTCTGAGAAAAAGATACAATTCAGCTGATTGGAATAAAAGACATGTCAGATGATAAAATGGATGCAAACACATGTGCTTTCCTTTTTCCTCACAAGATGGGCCCTGGTTTGATGGGAATGTGAGTCACATAAATCAGGAATACAATGAGTTTCCTCATTATCATGGTTAGATTCCTTACCTATCTGGAAAGCCACACCCTCAAATTTTAGCTCAAATTCTTGTCCTATGAAACAGTGACTCTAGTCTGTGATTACCACATGTCCCAGACATAGCACTTGGGTTTCAGGAACTTGTATTCAATTCAATTCTAGGTACTCATTTCTCAATTTAACACAGAGACAAAAAAAGGAAATTCCAAGTAGCAGGACAAACCATGTTATACCATAGCATGTCAGTGGTACAGATTTTTAAAAATGGAAGAAATATTATCCAATTATCTATAGAAGACTCCCCATGAGCATTTTGTACTATTGAAAATCATTAATAGGAAAACAAAATGACAGAAGGAAATAAAAGAACACTGCAGTATTACAGAAATCAACTGAGTACTTCAAACCACTGTTACAGATCTAGTAAAGAAACCACACACAGCAAGAGATAGAATGGACTCAGGTAAAAATGGTAGAGAGAAAAACTGTAGTCACAGTCTTCACAGAAGAAAATGACAAATATATTAAATAACTAGAGAGAAAATGATAAGCATGGAAGACAGGCAAGTTTCATCCAACATAATAAGTGTTTCCCTGAGTTAGAGAATCCAACAAATGGTACAGAAAAAAATGTATACTTTTTCAGTATTATTCCAGTAATTTTCAGTATTATCGTAGTAATACTGAAAAGATCCTGAAATAAGAGAATAACTGAACTTGTACATTGAAAGAGAATAACCTATACTGGGAGAAAGACATGTAAAATAATGGAGATAAATGACATAGGTATAGATATAGACCGTTGTTATGATAGAAAGTACAACAAAGGGTTCTTTAAGATTTTAGGGAGAAAAATCCAATACCTATGACCTGGAAAAAAAATCAGTATGATTCAGTCCCCACCACAGCAACATTCAATGGGGGAAAATAATGAAGCAATGTCATAAAGTTTTGATGAACAGAAACTGTGACTCAAGAATAACACATCCAATAAAATTCTTGTACAAGCATAAAAGCAAAAACAAGATACTCTCAGTAAACAATGATAACACACTGGTGCTTAAAAAAAAAAAGAATATTACACCATATAGGAGGTAAGTTAAATCAAGATTCAGAAAGGCAGGGAGAAACTATGTAAAGAGATAAGTGAACACAAGACCATTTAAATATTCATCTAAGACTGTAAGACTGAACTGGAGAAATGACAGCTATAGAAGTGAATATAAAGCTTTTAATGTTCACCCAGCACCCTCCACCAAAAAACATGAAAAACCACAAAAACACCAAAAATTGGGATGTAAAGAGAGGGAAGAAAAGAGAGATGTCAAATGAGAGGGCCACTTGCCTCATTTTTCATAGCAATCACTTCATACTGCCTAAAAATGGAAACTTGGTTTAAAATTACTTCAGCTTCTTCATGGATTCCTAAACTTTTAACTCTGGCAGACTTAATTTACCTATTTCTATTCTTTCAAAGATCAAGTAATACTTTTGCTCCAAAATAGCAAGTACAAAACCATTCCATTCTTCAAGAACAATGTTTCTATCTCTTGGTTTCTCTCATCCCCTCTCTCGTTCCGCTTCCTCTCTTGCCGTCACTCCATGCATCCATTTCTCTATCTGCCTTTCGGCCTCTACGTAGAGACTGGGAATAATAGACAACAAATTTCAATTTTGCTTACTTCTAGGCAGTGACATTAGGGATGACTTTTTTTTTAAGATTTTATTTATTTGACAGAGATCACAAGTAGGCACAGAGGCAGGCAGAGAGAGAGAGAGAGAGAGAGAGAGGAGGCAGCAGGCTCCCCGCTGAGCCGAGAGCCTGATGCCAGGCTCCATCCCAGGACCCTGGGATCATGACCTGAGCCGAAGTCAAAGGCTTTAACCCACTGAGCCACCCAGGCCCTCCTAGGGAAGACTGTTTTCTATATAACTTGATTTTTTTAAATAAGTAGGTAACATTTTTATAAAAACAAGAAAGCCATCACAAAGGAAAAAAAGGTACTTCCTTTATAATGTTTCTAAATAGTCTGGTGGAGAAAAAGAAATTCTTCTGACATTTTAAAGAAAATTCAAAATTAATTCACATACCCTGAAATAAGCATTTGATGATAATAGAGAAACAATCATGGAGTAAGTTGAGCAGGAGAATGGCACATTTGATGAGTCAAAAACTTTGTGAAGCTTGTGTGAAGACTTCTTGATTAGTCAAAATTTTGGTATGTTTTTCCTGATTTCAGCTTTCTGGGAAAGGAATTACAGCCATGCTGGTTATCTTCTCTCTCTTGGAATTCCACACAAATTTGACTACAGCCTATTTTTCCAAACGAGCAATCACCAAAACCAACAGGGTGAGCTGGGCCTCTTCTCTGTAAAATACTCTGAGTATGTGCTGGGGAAATACAGACAAGTGTCAGCCAAGTCCCACTGCGGGTTAACAAGAGCCCACTTTGTCCTTGAGTCATGGGGTGGGGACAGGGTGGAGCACGGGACGGAATAGGATTATAGTAATAATACTGCTTGTTTTGTTCATTCCAGCCTGTCCTGGTTATTCCCAACGTGTATACAGCCAGTCCCTTGGAACCAGGGGTTTTCTCAGCTCCTCCCAGAAATGACGGCCACCTCACTCATGCCACTTAACTCAACAAGGAGAGGCGCCTGGGTAGTGCAATTGGTTGAGCATCCGACTCTTGGTTTCCACTTGGGTTGTGATCCTGGGATGGAGCCTCATGTCAGGCTTCACACTCAGTGCAGAGTCAACTTCAGATTCTCTCTCCCTCTCCTTCTACCCTTCCCACTCTTGTGCACACACACATCCCCTCCCCCTAAAACAAATTTTAAAAATCATATAAAAGAATTTGGCTAAAAACAAAAAGAAGCAGCAAGCAATCTCATGAAGTTAAACTGCTCTGCAGGAACTTAAGAAGCTGGTCTCTGCTGTCCACGATGATTGCTCATCTTTCAAGACTGTGTTTAAGATTTTTCTTTGTTTGTCATTAATGATAACTGCATGCATTTCCCTGCCACGTGTATATACCACTACCACGCTGGGGAGATGGATGACCACAAGACTGAAAATGGCTCACAGTATTTTGTACATTGATTTCATCAAACCCTGCCTCCTGGATAGCTACAAAGCTTTGCTATTTACAGAGTATTTTTCATGTTCATTAAACTCATTTGCAAGGGGACAAGAGCAGGCCAAGGATGGTACACTGGGGGAGTTTTATCCAGATTATGGCTGTTTTGTTTCTGAAATGGGAAAAAACATGGGCATGTTTAAAAGCCAATGGGAACAATCCAGACACACTAGAAAGCTACTGAATATAGGAGAGAAAAGGGATGATTGCAGTCTAAGTATCAAGAAATCAAAAGTGTACATGGAAGGCATGGCCTAAGTCATGAGGAAGGGTGGTTTATCTGCATGAAAGAAAGGAGGATGTCATTTTGCCTATATCAATAGGTTTGCAGAGATGGTACGGAGTATGTAGGAGGCTCCATTATGATGGCTCGTGTCATCCCCATCAAAGCAGAAGTGAGGTCATGCCCAAGGTGGGGCCCATGTGTAGAATGAGAATATTGAACAGAAAGGGTGGTTTTGGATAAGCCATGGAAATAGAGAATAAACTGATCAGAGAAACAGGTGAGGACTGCCAGGCTGTACCAAGGGCACATTTAAAGAAGTGGTCACACATTTATAGCACAAACAAACTGATTGCTTCGGCAAGACTTGGTCGCTCAGATGTAAATCCAGATACAGGGCCAATTTGGTTTTGTCCAGGATTAGGGTTTTGCAAGAGGGGATGATAAAATACCAAAGGGGCAAAAAAGCATGGAATATCGTCAGAAGTATTACTGCCATGATGGACTATGAGTCTAAACTGGATTAAGAAGAGAAGGGAAAAAAGTACAGATAGATTGGTCAAATATTGTTATCTGCCTTTCTCCACAGAGCTGTTGGAAAGATCAAAAAAGACATTATGTGAAAACAGTTTGGAAACAGCAAAGTAGCACCCATTTTTGAAGCTTCAGAGTTATTTTTAAAAGCCAAATGGGACAAAACAGATAGGGAAAGAATAGGTAGAGAAATCAAAATGAAGGAAGAGGCAGATGAGAAGAATGGAATTCCTGTATCTGGGAAAGCAGATGTATTATGTGAAAGTTACATAGTTCCAAATTTCCTCCTCTGCCTGGGTCCCAACTGTTTAGCAGTTTGGGTGATCAGGAATGCTGTGTCCTCCACCACGAAGCTTGGCAGCTAAGTGAAAGTAAAGACATATGCTCTATGGTCTGAGGGTCTAGGAACTAAATAGTGCTCCCAAAATGGCTGTAGGAGTGGCATACTATAAATCCACATAAATGACTTAAAAAGTAAAACTTGCTTTATGGAAGAGAAGCGTTTCTAGCAAAGTTGATTTTTAAAATAAATTTCCATCGAACACATTCTATTTTTCACTTTACTTTAGTAGTAGTACTAATGGTAACAGCAAATATTTAGCCCACTCTATGTGCTAGGCACATCCCTAAACACTTATATAAATTAATACACTTAGTGCTCACAAGATCTCTGTGAAACAAGTACTATAATCAGCATCCTTTCCAGATGAGAAAACTAAAGCAGAGAGATTAAATCTTGTCATTAGGATGAGCAGTTAGCAAAGACTGAAGGATGAATTTGAACCCAGGCAGTCTGGCTCCCAAGTTCAGGCAGTGCTCCTAACCATTACTCCCATTCTTCTTATTGTCTGGGATAGAAGCAGAGATTTGTAGCTCCAAAACAAGAAAACAAACAAACATGTTTCTCTACAGTAAACCTGTGGTAAATGTGGAAGGAACTACCTAACTCTCTGATGGGTGAAAAGGGGTTTAGTAATATAATACCATTACTTTCAGCACTTGCCATCTGAAAGTTACCCTGTGACTTTTAATCTCACCTGAGAGTCCCTTAACTCAATATCTAGAGTGTCAATTGATTTGGCCCCCAACTCCTCTTTTGGCTAGAGAGTGAAAAGATGCTAATAGATTTGGGTTTCAACCACCCAAGATTGTATTTTAAGTTGAGGCTTCTTACACTGTAAAAAACAAGACTGCCTACCTTTACATCTTAACTATGCTGTAAGCATAATATTCTTAAGTAGTGGATTCATTTCAAACAATGTAATCATGTTTTTATGAAACTGGGGAAAGTATTCAATCATTGACTAATCAAAATTAACTTAGTGCCTACTCTACAGGGCACTGTTCTGTGTGCTTGAGAAAAACAAAAATTCTATTCCTTGGATACTTATGTCATCTAAGTGTTAGACTTCCTGTGAAAAATAAAATTAGACTTTAATTTTAAGTTAAATCTTCTAAGCTTTCTAAAAATGCACCTGTGACCTAAGACCTAAGAAAGTGACTAGAGTAGAAATACTATACTCCAGCACAGAAGTCATGTGCTTATTACTAATACTAAATACTAAATTATTTAAAATACTGATCCTAAATTATTGAAGGCTTTATGGATTTTCATTCTGGATTATCTAAAAACTTACTCATTTATTCATTCATTTGCTCAAAAAAATATATTACTACTTCATGACCAAACACTGTGCTAAGCCATTACCTAAAATTAAGGTCTTACATACTTTTTAATTAGAGTAATATAAAACAGGATAGAGCAGGCTTTATCTTAATGCCAGTATACACAAGCTTTTTTCACATAAAAGTAATAAATGTTGGGTTTGAGTACCAACTCCTCACTCAAGAAATATAACTGAAACCATACAAGGAAAACCCAAGCACATCCTGTATTTAGTGTCTTCCCCCTTCAGAAAAACACGGGTTATTATTAGATTTCCAGGGCTCCAGACCATCAACCAACTCTAAATTCTAAGAGTTAGGTCAAGATCTCATGAAGTGCATGGGTTCAGAGTTACCTTTCCAGAATCTACAAACACATCATAGATACATACATATCATTGATTCATGCCTTGCCTACACTTTTCTGAAAGTTTTTTCCAGAGTATATTTTGCATTTGTTAAATCCCTTTAAAAATCAGTCACAACTGTCCCCTTGTCCCATGGAGCAGATGCTGGCCAAACTCATCCTAAATTTGGGTGACTGGGAGGGAGGTGCCAAGGGTATCCAAGCCTCTATTTGTAGGAGTGATCTGAATCAGGGGGAAAGATCCTGCAGGAAGCTTTGAGTTCAAGTATCCAAAGCTCAAACTGAAAGAGCAGAACATGGAGTCTAGTTCCCTGCCTGGTCAAACCAGGCTTGATCCCCATGGAGAAAGGGGCATTCTCATTTGCACATGGACTATGATGAGGCTCCTGCTCTGTGAGAAGGAGTGAAGAAAATACAAGGCTGCTGGACCCCCAGGGCCTTGGAGCTTGGGAAGCATTGGGGGACAGCACCTAGGGCAAAGCAGCCTTCTTGAAAAAGGCAGCTGCATGGCCTGGGAAGACAAAGATGCAGACGGAAAGTGGCTGCTGTGCTACAGAACAATGTGAAAATTCCAGGGACTCCCAGAAGTACTCTGGAAGTGGGGATTTGCAGGGAATCGAGGGGTACTTGAGCAGATCAAGGGCAAGCCAGACAAATGTGGCCACATTGCCAGTGTGTCTTAATTCCCACAGGATGGAGAGGATATGGACATCAGCATTTTCTTAAAACTGGCTAATTTTTGCCATTCTCCCTTCATTTTCCAAATAAAACAAACAAAGCCTTCCTCTCTCCAGACTTCCTTCTTCTGGACAAGGCAATTTATATTTTTGCAAAGTTCACTCTTCTCCCCAAACCCACCTCTACTCCACTCCTCAGTTCCCTGACTTCACTCGAAAACTGAATATCCCTTGCCCCATGATGACCGTGACTATGGGTACCTGGCTCAGGAGGATGTTTGCTTCTCCCTTGTCCTTTGCCCCTCTCCACCAGCAGGTACTTATTATTTATAAGTAATAAATGCTGGGTTTGAGTACAAGACTTCACTCAAGAAATATAAATATTTCTCTCTCAAATAAGTAAAATCTTTAAAAATAATAATAAATAATAATAAAATAAAAATGGACATATCCCTTTACTCCGTTCTACCAGCTGGCTCACCTGTCCTCAGTAGGTTCCACCAATCTCTTTCTCCACTCATGGACCCTACCCAGTTTAAACCTCACTCACAATTTGACTTTGTTTTCACAATACCTGCCACTCACCTAAGAACTTAGCAACACTTATAATCTGGTACAGACTTTTTGGCCAAATATCGCTTCATATAGTCAGAGAATGCTAGCTGCAATGTCTAGTTCTTTTGGTCTCAGCCTACTGATAGTGATGCTATTGACCTGAGTGCCTTAAGGCCCTCACCTGAGCCCTACAACTCATAGTGACTCCCACAGATGTGCCTCCTATGGAACAAGTGATGTGGCTGGACTGACCCTTGTGGTTCTTACTGTTAACCATCAGGAAACTTGGAAGGACAAGACTTACTACTCACAAGTAAGTCCTGTAGCAAGGGACAGGAACAGAGAGAAAGTACAAACCCGGGGTTCTGCCTTTATTAGGGTTGAAGGTAGTGTACCTACAGTTTCTTGGGTTCACTCTTTATGGGTGAATGTAAGACCTAAGAGCAGGAATTAGGGCACAGGAAGGGAAAAGCAGGGTCATTCAAGTGATTAGTTATCTATGTTAACCACAGAGAACTTTCTAAAAGGGAAACTTTGGAGGTGGAGTGGCCCATTTTTTCTCTAGTTGTTTTGTTAGTAGCTGTGTAATACAGATGGCAATTCATTTATTTGAGAGGACTGTCTTTGAAATGGATGTACTGGCAATCAAAAGCTTAATGACTGCAAAATTGGGTGAAGAGCGTGCTCCTGAGCCTGGCATCCTGGCACCAGAAACATCGTGCCTTAGCTGAGAAGATGAAGCAACTTGAGGAATTCTTGAAGGCATGTGCGTGCATCAGAGCCCCCGACTCCGATGCATCTTGTTGCATAAGTATTTTCAGGAGCATCAAGGACTTACACTGCAAGTCAGAAGAGAAAACAAAAGTCCAAGAGTAGTACGATGGAGTGCACACAGCCAGAACTAGTGCTGAGAACCATGCCCAGACCTCGTAATTTCACCAGCAGTATTCCTTACACAATTCTGCGACGGTCATACAGCACAGCTCTTCCTGAAGGAGGCCAAAGAAAGCAAAGGGGTACAGGTTCTGGAGCTAGACTGCTGGAATCAGAACCCCAACTTGCACATTTATAAGCCGTGTGACTATGAACAAGATCCCTAACCTCCCCAAGGGTCCGTATTTTCACCAGTTCAAGTAATAACAATGGTGCAGTTTAAATAAGATAAGCCAATGTGTGAAAGCAGCTACACAAGGAGGCCATTAGACCAGAGTGGCTCTAAGGCCTTGAGAGCCTACATGAGCAAACTGAAACCAAAGCCAGAATCAATGTACCCCAGCCCAAGAAAATTAAACTTAAGAACAACCAACCACAGCGCTCAAGGAAGGCAGCTGTCTAAACTATAATTTCCTTGCTTTGCTTCCACATCTTCTAGAAAGAAACCTTTCCCCTAGAACCTGCTCATGAGCTGCTCCCAACCATTCTCAGTTTGAATCAATGTTTGCTCAAACCCCTCATCGACGACATCGGACCCTTCTGTATCTGCCCGCTGCTACCGCTACTTCTATATACATCTTTTCACACACGTTGTTTTAGGAATCTGCACATCAAATAGAAAACTGATACCAGGTCTAACCTGAAACGCTGACTCACCTCAGCAGGTGGATGAAAAAGTCATTCTGATGTCCTGCCAACTAGTCTCTTCATTCATTTCCTTCTTTGGCTCCTTACATTTAAAAAACAAAAAGGGCAGAGTATAGTTATGGACTCAGCTACCTTTTTCAATATTTACACCTCCTAAAAGGCATCTGCACTACAATTTTCCTCTGAGGACAGAGAAGGTGAAGGACCGACTTTTCATCAGTGACCCTGGCGAATGCACCAGAAGGGCCAACATCACAAACGGACACTTGAAGAAGCCATTTCTCCAGACACCAAGCGGTAGTTCTCAGGCGAGTCTGACCACGTGGTCCGAAAAGCCCTAGTGAGTCTGCGCACACGCCCCCCCCGCCCCGCCACGTAGCAGGCGTGGGGTGCGCAGGCGCACGAGACAGTCCCTCAGCTGCTGCCGTTGGTGGCCCTCGTGGCCTGAGGAGCCTGAGGGCCTGCTGGGTCCTGGGCTCCTTGAACCTTCAGTGATGCTTGCCAGGCAGTGTCTGGTGACCTGGCCCTGAGGACACTACCCCAGAGATCTGCCTCTTGATCCGGGCCTGGGCACTGGCAGAAGGACCTGGACGGGGTGCTGGAGGAAGTCTCCTGGGCAAGAGGACCATCCAGCGCGGGGACTCTGCCCCGTGAGCCTGAGCCTGGACCTGGACCTGAAAGGGCGTAACTCGATCCTTAGGACCTTGAACAAGTACAATGAAGGGTAATGATGTCGCTTTGCTTTCGGTATTTCTTAAGTGTTAAAAGCCGAAAAGGGTTGCAGAGACAGAATTCGGGGCCCCCTACCTTCCCTCTCCTACCCCATTCATCCTTGTGCAGACGCTGGGCATCAACCACCCACTGTGCGCCCAGTCCAGGCCACTTCACCAAGTGTGAGTCCGTCAGTCGCAGCCCAGGACTAGCCCTGGACATACGGAAATGAATTCCTTGGGTCCCAGGAGGTGACACTGCCTTGGGACCCAGACCTGATCATTCAGAGTTAGATAGACAACACTGTGATGGAGTGTAGGGGAGCAAGGAGAGGAGTACTAATAGACTCTGGGGGAGAGGAGGCTTCCCCAAGAAGGGTGCTGTTGGAGCTATTAGTGCAGAAACCCTGGGAAGGGCCTGGGATGAGGCCGAGAAAGTGGGCAGGGAACAGCTCATGAAGGGCTTTATGGGCCCTGCTGAAGAGTTTGAACCTTATTCTGAAGACAGGAGTTGCATCCCTGCTAAAGATGGAGAAGTGACTTCTAGACATGAGTTCTCGGTGACTGTTTCAGAATTTCTCTGTCTTAAGGCAAGTGTAAGGAATGAGGATAGGGTTGGGAATGAGGACTAGGGGCTTGTTCTGCAGCTGCTTTTTGATTAGTGATGAAAGCACCAGAGGATAGAAACAAATTATTAATTTTTATTTTTTATTTATCTCTTTTTTTTTTTTTTTTACAAAAATGAGATACTTCACTGGGTTCTAGAGTAACTGACTATAGAATGTTTTTCTAAAAAATTCTAACCATCATTTATTCCAGAAATAATACTGTAGAATTTCTTATTTTCTTCCAACATTTAAGCTAAAGATTTTTAAACACACACACGATCTGTTTTTTCATGGTACGTCAATGAATACTTCACCTGGGGTGGTTTTGGTGGGGGTCTGAAGGAGAGAGACTATAGGATGCTAAATATTCTGCTCCTGGTGCTTCCACTATCAGCTGTGAGAATTTTTATACATAAAGAAAAGGACTAATAATTTTTTATTATTTTCCTTTTTTTCTCAAAAGTGACACTAGCAATCTAGATAGGACTTCCTCATTACTTTATATATAAATTCTATAATTCTGTGCCTTTTATTTGAGCATGACAGAATGATTAATCTTGGTTGCCTTTAGGCCCCTACACTTTCTTTGGTATTTCTCAAAGGAGCCGTTTAATATATGAAACTTATTATTTATACTTAAGTTATTGTACTTAACATATTGTTTTCTCTACTGTCAATAGCTCTTATAGTCTTACCTAGCTTTTTTCTGTCTCTGTACTTTATAGAATTAAGAGACATTCAGAAAATCAATTTTAGAAACCAAAGACTCATTAAAATAATCAAATCATGAGATTTTAAGGGTACAGGGAATGAGAGTTCATTTACTCAAACCTGCCTCTCAAAAGGACCAAGATTCAGGGTTTAAGATCATCCATTACATTATCACCTAAGTGGCATGATTCATGTTATTCACCTAAGTATGACATGTAGAACAATGTAATGTCAGATCCACAAAGGATACAGTTATTAGCCAGGTTTTCTGAACACCAGGGAGAAATGCAGGAAAAAGGGAGGGCGAGAGGGGAAAAAACAATAATGAAAGAACTCCTAGAAGAAGCCTTTAGTGGGGAAAAAAAGGAACAATAACAACAAAAGAACTCCTAGGAGAATCTAGAGGATTGTGGAAGCAACTTTGGTAAGTTGTCTGACGGTAGAAAAAGTTCTTTCATATAAAGAACTAGATAGCAAGTATGTGACAGAGAAAAAAAAATCATGAGCCCATGATGAATTTAAGTATAAGAACTTGGTTTTGAAACACAAACATGGCATTATGAATTGCATTGAACTCATTATGAATTGCAAATGAGTTGTTAAAAGCTTTACTGAAAATTCTCTAACATTGTTTCCTAAGTGTTCTTTATATTTTATCATCCAGGGCCACTGCTTACTACTCAGAAAAAATAACTGTAATATGCCTATACTTTTTAGTTGTAAGGAGAGGCTTTTCACTTATGGAGGCCATTATTCAGAACAGGTAGATGCCAGCTGATGCCTCTACAAAGTTAGGCACAAAAAGAAGAAAACAATTGCTTCAGAGTTTGGGAGGTGGTTGTAAAACAGTGGGAAAAGAATCAAAGTTAAGTATTTTCTTCTGAGCAATGTGTGTATATGTGTTTTGTATTGTTTTGTAGAAGTCTGTTAGTAAAAATTTCACCAAAGATTAGAAGCATAATCATCTAAAGGAAATGCTGGTAGTATGGCTCGATGTGTATGTTCAAAACTCTCTGCAGCAGATAGTCTTACTCTAGGGGTAAGTAAGACTTCAGTTTGACTAAATTCAGGAATATGTACTACTTCAATTTACTAAGGATTATTCTTGAATCTGGGAAGGGGCATATTTGGTTAAGTCAAAGGGTAAAAATGGGTTTAAGAAATTGTTTTTGAATATAGTTGACACACAATGTTACATCAGTTTCAGGTATACAACATTGTGATTCAACCTCGCTATACATTATGCTCTGCTCACCACCAGCAGAGGTAGCTACCATTTGTCACCATACGATGCTGTAACAAGATCATTGACTCTATTCCCTCTGCTGTACCTTTTATTTCTGTAACTTGTTCATTCCATAACTGAAATCTCCCTGTATCTCCCACTTCCCCTCACCCCCCAAAAAAATTTTTTAATACTGATTGTCTCCTACAAATTTTGACTGATCTCATGTCTCTTCATACACAAATATGTGCTTATATATAAGCATACTGACTAAACCAACATACATAGGGTGCTAGAGAAATCCCAAAAAGGAATAAAAGAAAAAGAAGTGTTTTTTTTTAACTAGAAGAGGTATCTCTTTTTGATCTCTTTCTATTACTCTATTTAGATTTCTATACGATAGAATGATTATTAATTTGTCTCTTCAATTATAAACAGAGAGCTTAGCTATCTCTTAGTAACACCAAGGAATTATGAAGATCATGCTCTTTCCCATCTGAAAGAGAAAGACCTTTTCTACTGGATGTTAAATTTTCCTTTGAACTTGGCCGCTGTGTAGATTGTCTCCCACCTGACTGTTCAGCTGAGGTTCTTAATCTCTTGGGAGTCACAGACCGTTTCTGACATAGGAAGGAAGCTCTGAATCTTCTCCCCAGCTTCATATACATATTGTAATCCTTTGCACTCATATTTTTGTGTGTGGGGAAGAGGCCTATGACCTCCTGAAATGCCATTTGTTGGCTCTAGGTTAAGAACAATTTTTAAATAAGAAAATCCATCCTGTTCTTCTCCACACACTAGCAGCCTTGCTTTCTAATATGGCTACTAGGACATTTCATAGTATTATATAGGACAGCCCCAATTATAAAGGGAGACACTACTTTTCAACTTCACTTAAGAGTTGGGAATGTCAAGTGGAATTAATGTCCTTCATTCTGATGTGCTTATTCAAGAGATATTTACTGGGTTCCCGCTTGTAGAGGTTGGTGACAACAGTGAGATAACTAAATTCAGTCTCTCAAGGATTTATCTGTCTAGTAAAGATATTCTGACAATGAAATCCAAAGAATCTCTGAAGATAATGCCACTTTTTCAAATTCAGTGCAGAGGAAATCTAAAATCTAAATGTATAAAAATGGATAAGATTGTTACTGAAAAAGTAACAATGGTCTTTCTATAAAGAGAATTCTCTAAAATGTATCTTTAATATTAGCTGATTGCATTTATGTGTTTTTAGACTATTTGCTTTATAGAGAGCTGGAACTATTAAAGCATTAAATAGCTTCCTGTTAAAGTTTATATTCAAGTAAAAATAATATTACCTCCGAAATTTTTACTTTTATTTGTTTTAATTAAGTAGGCTCCACAACCAACATGGGGCTTGAACTCATGACCCTGAGATCAGGCATCACATGTTTCACTGACTGAGCCAGCTAGGTGCCCAATCCTCTGAAATTTTTAAAGCGTAATTAAAAATGTGATTCAGTATATGAAATATCAGTTCACATATAAATTGAGAAATAAATTTACTGGCACATATTTTTTTGGATTATAGTTATCTTCTTAAAAATTAAAGTTGAGTAATAATTCTCCCCTCCACCAACCTTTCCCCTATCCAATAGGAAGACCTGGTATGAGCAAGTCTACACTGGATATTCTTTGTATCTCTGTGTTGGATTGTACCTTACCCCAGCATGCTTGTGATAAAGATACATACCAAGTATGCCTTGGAGGCAAAGGTAAACCTTTAAAAGATGCAAAAAGTGGTTCAACCTTATAATTACTAATATACAAGAACATATTGGATAAATGGCTTCCTGCATCCAAATAGAGTAGTAACCATATTTTCCCCCAAATACCTTCAGTATTCTCTTCTCATGCCATTGCTTGATAGGTAGAAAGGATAGCAGTAGTAAGAGATTGTCAACTTTTTTATGGGAGAATTGACTAGAATTATCATTGAACAGTATGATGCTCCAAGAATGGCTGATTCCTATTTGGTAAACCTCAGTACTTCCTGGTTAGGGCTTGCTTTTGGGTCTAACCAGTCCAGAAAATACATGGTAAGTGCATTCCTATTTAACTTTTATCTTTCATAAAGTATTGAATATTTCTTACAGTTAACATTTATTGGAGCTATGTTATAAATTACATGGTTTTGGTACTAATATCATTTTCTTCTCACAGGCTGTCCAGATTATGATTGGCATATTTCATGTTTTCATGTGGTATTTCCTATTGATTTTGTATATGGGACAAATTAGAGGAGTCTTTGGGACGTATGAACCTATAACTTACAAAGCAGGATGTTCTTTATGGGGAGTTATTGTGAGTAGAATATATTTATGATTTAATCATTCAGTAAATACTATTCATGCCACTAGTGGAAGATAGGGAACAGTTTTTAAACAGAGATTTCAGAGAATTATGTAAGTAAATCTCATGTTGGTAATTTATTCAAAATCAAATTCCTTTTTCAACACATGTTTCCTTAGTACCTTTAACTTACCAGGGCTATTACAAGAGATGTGGATGCAGGAAGGAATATACAATGACAACCATAGGTTGGATTGACTTTATATATGTGAAAGACAAAGAATCTTAACCATAATATCCATTAGCATGGTTAATTTTCATATTTAGGGTCTTTACCTTCTTCACACAACGAGTCTATATTCACACATTTTCTAAATTTGTCATTACCTGCATTCTTCTGTGGTTTCTAGACAGCCATAAGGTAGTAGGAATAGTTGAAGAGTATGGCATCCTCAAAGCTGAGCAAACAAATAGGGAAAGATAAACTATATTAAATTCTGTTATTTTGCCAAATAAGGCAGAGAATCGACCATTGGAGTTAGCAATGTGGAACCCAGCCATAAACTTGACAAGTAGTTTCAGTAGAATGGTGAGGCAAACCTGACTGGAGTTGGTTTAAGAAATAATGGGAGGAGAAGAACTATAGAGACAGCAAATAAAAGTCCTTGAAGGACTCTGATGTAATGTGGCATTGAGAAATGAGGTAGTAGCGGGAGGAAGTTTGGGTCAAGACAAGGTTTCTTATTTGTTTCCCTAAGTTGGAAGTATCAAAAGTAAGTCTTTTATGAGGGGACTGAACCAGAAGAGCGAAAATCAATATGAAATAAATAGAGAAAAGGAGGGATTAATAGAATCCTGCAATGGGGTAGGCAAGAGATGATGTTTTTTAATACACAAATATTTGGGTTCATGGACAATTCATGTCTAGCAGTGGATCTCAACTAGAGGTGATTTTACCCCTTAGAGGACATTTGGTGATGTCTGGAGACATTTTTGGTTTTCACAGCAGGGGTGGGCATCTAGTAGGCAGAAGCCAAGAACATGCATAAATATCCCACAAAGTACAAGATAACCATCACAAGAAAGAATTATCCATCTTTAAGGTAAATAGTGCCAAGGTGGGTAACAGGATGGAAAGGTAGAGGAGCAAAGAGAAAGGACAAATTTTGATAGGTAGGTAGATGGGATATTGGGAGCTTGTGGAACTTCTCTTCCTATGGCTTCAAATATCTCCGTGAATTAGGAAGCCAGATCATGGGCTGAGAATGAGAATTGGATAATGAACTGGTTGTTTGAAGGGAGGGTTTAAAATAGTCATCTAGAAAAAGAGAGCATATGCATTGTAGAAAAGTAGTCTGACTTCCACTAAGATAAAGAGCTCACTTAAGCTTTAGGAACAGGGTATGTGTAGTGAGATGTGGGTCAAATGGTTGTGTGTCTTTCTCAGGTCCCATTTGGCTGCATGGGTTCAGGCATTCAGTGAAAAGGAAAACTGCATTTAATCAGAATTTGGGTTTAACCGTGCATCTGTGATCAAACAAGAATGGTGCAAAGGAGTTGAAAGTGTATATAAGTGAGTGTAATAGTTAACCATGGAATTTAAACTGGTGAAGGAGAAAATATAACGGAAGTGAGGGGCTTGATCATAGATGCAGATGGGTTCAAAGGATTGTTAAAGTTGGGATACTACGGAACCTGATGTAGAAAGATAGAAACTAGTAGTCCTAGTGGGATACTCGGAATTGAGATTTGGAAGATGTCATACTTATTGTCAGAAACAAACACAAGAGAATGAATATGGGAGTGAGCGACTGAGATAAGATGGGGTCGGAGGATTAGAGAAGAGAAATTCAAAGAACTGTAAGACCAAGGTATTAGAAGGATCACACACACACACACACACACACACACACACACACACACACACACCAAGGTCTAAGAAGTGTTAGAGAGTAAGACAGGAATTAAAATCACCAAGACTAGAGTGACCAAATCAACTTCAACCAGGCTAGATAGTGGGTGATAGAATCTGATGACATTTGATTCAAAGCTGGGGGAGAGGCAAGCATTGGAAGTAATAAGGAGCAAGGAGACCACTTACCCACAAGTTAGAAACAGTGGTATAAGGGCTGTAAGAGAAAATGGCCACCACTTGAGAGGGCTCCAGAGAAAGCAGTGGCCTCTAGGAGTTCCTCTTTCTTTGTACATTGGCTCACAAGGGTCAAAGCATTGCTTTAGAAAACAATAGTGAATTTGCAGACAAAATCCAGATAAATGATTCATGTCCCTCAGTGTTTAATTGTACATGTTATAAAAATAACGTGTGTAGCTCTTAGAATAAATTATCTAAAATTTCAGTTAAATTAAATCCAATGGAAAACTCTCATAAACTTTGAAAGGCATTTTGTGAGGCACATGGTTTGCTAACCTAGCTACAGAGCACTCTAGTTTGTAATTCAACTCATATTAGCTCTTCCTCTCACTGTGTACCTCCTTAGAAATCTCAGCTTTTATTACAGAATGAAGTGCTGTGTGTGTAAATTAGTACACACTAATTTATCCTGGAGGAGTTAGTAAGCTTTAAGATTTGGTCTCCCTATAAATGGTATAGCATGAATACTGTTTTTCCACAGATTATTCTTTGATTTAGATCTTTGTGAAATTCACTAAAACGGATAGGACAAAAGGAATGTTCCAAAGGAATTATGCAGCTCACCTCCAAACAATATGGTATAACTTTACACTTATGGGAAATAATCAAAGTAACCTGGTATGAAATAATGGAAACTCTTAAAAAAAAATACAAAAACTGAGTTACAGTTGTTACTTAGTAATGGCCACAGTCTCAAGAGATATATTTTGTACAAACACAATTTGGCATAGACTCCTGAACCACTTTTCACATTTGGATGTGCATACAGTAATTGCAATCAGTGGAAGGATTATTAGGAAGGACAGCATTTGAAATGATAATCAGATGAGTTCAGAAAGCAGGCAAAGATATAAGCAAACTTGGCTCCTGATTTGGGACTCTTTGAGTCATCTTTGGTATATACCACAACCTGATTTCTGCCCACTGTCCCTTATGTTTCTGTGATTAGTGACACGGCTATTAGCTTTCAGTTCATGACTATATGATGGAAACTTGTCCTGACCCCTTCTACTGAAACTTCTTTATATCTTGTTACTCTTAGTATTCTAAAAATAACAGATGTGGAAGAGGGAGTTGTTAAAAATACATCTTAAGTTGATGAGCATTATCAGTGAATATTTATAAATATGTTTTTATATCCAGTTTATCATTACAGGAGTCTCCATAATAAGAGCAGTAAGGCATCAGACTCAAGGCGTGGTAAGTGGAGATGCTTCGGTTATCCTAGAAATCACTTGTCACAAAACTAAGTAGATTTTAGTGAGTATCTGAACAATGAAGGAATTTACCTTACTTGTAAAATAAAGAATTAAATGAAAAGCTAGGAACACATAACCTAATGTAGACAAACTTTCTATATTAGAATCATTATGTAAATGTTCTAAATTTAATATAGGGTTTTTTGGTTTGGTATTCTACCTTATTTTAATATTGTATAAACTTTACTAGTAGACAGAATTTAATAGAACCTAATAAAGCCTTTATATATAGATATAATATTATTATAAAACTTCATTTTCCTATTGGGTTTGAGAACAGTATTATATCTTATATTAAAATAGAGGATCTGTCCAGAAGATCCATCCATGGTATAGGTATAGGTAAAATACTGGAAAGAAAAATATCTTAGACTCTTAGAGTTAAGAAATCAGTGAGTCTGATCTCACAATTATACAGACAAAAACATATCCAAAGATATTGATGGATTCCCCTAGAGAATGAAAATCTTAGATTAAAAATCACTGAATCTTCTTTGGCTTATTTCTATAAGTAGTCATTTTCCATCTTTATTTTTGTGTCTTTTTCTATTTTATGGTGGATCTCTTTTTGTTCAAATCCTATCTTAACTATCTTTCTTCCAAATGACTCAGAAGATTGTAAAATACAACAGTTTTTAGCCCAAATGGAAGATTGATACTTATTGATGTGATATTTCACTGTTCCTTCCAGATTAGTTGGGTTTCATGTAAACGAGGAAAATATTTTATCCCAGTGGCAAGCATTCCAGACCTCTAAAGCTTCAGAAACTAGATCAGAGTTCTGACGAAATGATTTTTTTTTCGGCAATACAAACTGTTTAACCTAAGTGTTTATTCAGAATATAACAAGCTTACCATGTATCTTCTTTTCAGATTACATTTGCTTTTATCATGAACATCTTCTGCATAATTGTTGCAGTTATTGCATCAATTCTAACAGCAATTGAGTTGTCTTCTTTTAATTCCGTGTCCTATAGGAATTATGGACAAGCAGTAAGTGACCCAATTCTTTAGGAACATCTTAATTTAGAACAATTCTCTTCCAAGGTTTTAAAGCCTTTGGAAGTAAAATAAGGCTTTTATTGGTCTTTAAGAAATTTTTTGTTTTGAGTAGTAAGCTCTTGATTGAAAGTTTCAATTCCAAAGTAATTCTAACAAGATTTTTTGGTAAATATTAATAGAATGTTTGAATTCCTGACTGCCCAATTAAAATAAAGCAAGTAGATAATGTGAAGGCTTCAGTGATAAGTGTATATGCATTAGGCATAGGGTCACTGATGATTCTCTTAATGAAATAAAAGCATATCCTAGACCTTAAAACCATTCCCAAAATCAACAAAATAATTCTGCGACTGATGCATACATTTAGAATTGTAGACACCTGGTAATTTCTGGTTTAACACAGAGCTTTTCATACACAGCCAATTTTTTTTGAGATTTATTTATTTATTTATTTATTTATTTATTTATTTATTTTAGAAAGAGAGAGAGCGCACAAGTGAGGGGAGAGGGAGAGAGAGGGTCCTCAAGCAGACTCCCTGCTAAGTGTGGAGCCCAATGTGGGGCTCCATCCTGAGACCCTAAGATCGTGACCGGAGCCAAAATCAAGAGTCGGATGTTCAACCAGCTGAGCCACCCAGGCATCCCCATACAAAGCTCGTTTTTGTGTCTCTAATGAATTTTGCTTTATGTAGTCAAATGCTAAATGTGTGTGAATCTGTCTTGTTTCCATTTAATTAAATATCCAATCACATACTTTGTACCAGAGAAATAACTGTATTTCAATTGTGTTGGCTTTAAATTCAGAATTATAGAATATTAGTGCAGCAAAAGACTTTCAAATGAGAATATATTAGAGTAGAGCTCCTCTTTATTATTGAACAACAAAACAAAAAATAGCAACTTGAAAGTTCCAATTCAAAAATAATTCTAATGAGAAGACTCATTGTAGATGAGGCATAATCTTCCTGCTTCCCCTATCTCAACTTTCCTCTCTCTATACCTGCACTGTATTATAAAGGGACCATCAGTGGAGGGAATCCAAGCATGAAAAACAAAAACCTAGAGAACAATGAAAGGATGAGAGAAGATACAATAGTACCCCCAAATGGACTGTGTGTAATGATTGGTTTAAATAAGTATGCATCAGATTTTCCCTATACATTGTAAGAAATTCTCCATTTTCCCTAGAAATTCATTCTGGGAATCTTCAGTTTTAATTCTGGTGGCAGAGATAAGGAGGAATAATTAGATTATTAAGCGAAGGATTATATCAAATTATTTAGTTGACCACTCTTATTGACAAGCTTATAATCATCAGTTTAAGATAATAATGACATAATTTCCAGGACTCACCTTTTGTAAACACCATTACAAACCATTGTAGACTGTATTTATCTGAACTCAGTATTAATGATCAATTTCACAGTCTCCCAAATGCACAAGTTTCATTTTTGTTTGCAGTGATCAATTACATGAATGAACTTATATATTAGACCTACATCTCTAACCCACAATCTTCTCTTAGAGGCATTACAGAATACTATTCCTGCATTTACTAAGGCACCAACCTTTTACAAGATTTGCCACATGACAGCTTTTCTAATAAAAACAAGCTGTTTGGCTAAACCCATAAACTCATCAAGTTATCAGTGTTCCCAGGTAGGTTCAGCTATCCCAAAAAGTGCATGTCTCTGAAACATACTTCTCTTATAACAAAATAGTTGATAATCTAAATCCAGAACCAGCCTGACTTTATCTAAACACTGTCTTCAGTACTCACTGTCAGTGACCCTGTGGACAAGTTTCTTAACTTCCCTGTTCCTTAGTTTCTTTTTTTTTTTTTTTTTTAGTTCTATTTATTTATTCATGAGAGACAGAGAGAGAGACACACAGAGAGAGGCAGAGGCAGAGGCAGAGGGAGAAGCAGGCTCCCCAAGGAGCAGGGAGCCTGATGCAGGGCTTGATCCCAGGACCCTGGGATCATGACCTAAGCAGAAGGCAGATGCTTAACCATCTGAGCCACCCAGGCACCTTTGTTCCTTAGTCTCTTTCTGTGTCAATAAAGTGCTAACACATACCTATTAAACTGTTTGTCTACCAAACTCCAGGCCTGTTATTCTTTTATTTTTTATTTTTTTAATTGCTGCTTCATTTTCTTTTTTTAAATTTTTTATTATGTTATCTTAGTCACCATACAGTACATCATTAGTTTTTGATGTAGTGTTCCACGATTCATTGTTTGCATATAGCGCCAGCTTGATGTTTCCACTTTGATATGCTTCTGTTGTCACCATCTCAAATTCAACAGATATAAAACAGAAAATATTTGCCTCTCAAAAGTACTGTGCTGCAAAACTCCCTTATTTCAGCCTCTAAAGCTGAAAACCTTGATGTAATCCTTCACCCTTCTCTCTCCACTATCTTCCCAAATACCAATTACTGTTTATTATTTACTTTAATTTTTATTAACTAGGGCTCTCTTAGTTGTAAGTGATAGGAAATACAACCCAAATCGACTTAAGCAAGAACAGGGGCACTTACTGAGTTCTGCTGCACTCAAAGGCTTAACTCAGTCATTCTCTCCATGGTTTGCCTGTTTGAACTTCGCTGGCAGGTGTCTTGCTATTTACAGGGGCAGAATTTAAGAGTAACACTAACATATACAAGTTAAGGAATGTGGACAAAATGACTTTTTACAGTCTTGGCAACAAAGAGGTCACCAGTACTTCCCAGCTAAAATGCTACTATTATTGTGTTTCTGCCAACAAAATTAAATCATAATTCTGATAAGGTAATTTGATATTTCAAACCCTCTATAGTATTTTCTTTATCTTCCTGTTACTATCATACACTCCCTATACCTGAGTTATACTGAGTTACCTGAGTTAAACTCGCTTTATCATTTTCTTAAAACATGTTCATTCTTCCATGCATTTTTCCCCTCACATTATCAAACCATAGGTCATGTGATACGTATTTTAGCTTTATTATTTTTCTACTTTATGTCTCCATTAATTATTTTATCACACTTTCAATGTATACTATTACATTTTTTCTAGAACAAGTCACAAAAAAACTAGTAAATGAAAATTTAAACCTGCCTAGAATGTTGCTTCCCTCCTTTGTTTCTTGGTCTTACTCTTATTTGTAATGTCTTGCCTTTTATGAAGACTTCCTTGATACGAATGGCTTAGGGCAAACTTCCTGCCCCTAAAATTCCTGAGCAAGTTTTTATCCATTCTGACATATTTGACCTTATTATATGTTATTTTATATTATCTTTCTGTCTTTTCTACTTGAATATAAACTTTGAGAAAGCAGGAATTTTTTGTCATCTCATTCTTACCATATACTCCCTACCACCTAATAGTTTCTTGCATAAAAGATATTAAATAAACCCAACAAAAACGGAAGGAGGAAGAGAAAGAATTGAAGGAGAGAGATTGTAATGTTATTATTTCCAGGTGTGAATGTCATTCTTGTCTTTCTACAGCCAGCACGAAAACTACATTTATTTTCAGGATTGGAACCAATATCATTCATCCTGATATGTAGTTGAAAATATCTTTCTGATTGCAGTAGAAGGGATCTGCTTTATTATCCCAGCAAAATCATAGTCACTCTTTATTTTCAAGTGAGATGTTGTTGTTTGAGGATTTACTCATCCTTCCACATCATGCTACAGCAATTTCTATGTAAGATTTTTATCACCACACATACAAATTTAAGTAAGTCTGTAATTAATAACAGTTTTTTTTATATTTTATTTATTCATTTGACAGACAGAGATCACAAGTAGACAGAGAGGCAGACAGAGAGAGAGAGGGAGAGGGAAGCAGGCTCTCTGCTGAGCAGAGAGCCCGATGCGGGGCTCGATCCCAGAACGCCGAGATCATGACCTGAGCCGAAGGCAGAGGCTTTAACCCACTGAGCCACCCAGGCGCCCCAATAACAGTTGTTTTAATACATGAGAATTGCTTGATAAAATATCTTAGTAGCCATCTTATCACTGGAGACAGAGAGTCAAATATTACTGACCTAAGAGCTTGGATAGATGTCGGGGATGGCCAGCAATCCCTCTGCGGACAGTTGAAAGATTACTCCAGACCTTGCCATGAAAGAGACAAGGCAAGGTGGTCAGCGCTCAGAGACAAAGACCCTTTGTGCTTCTTTGCTCCCAGTTTTATTGGTCCTTCAGGATAATCACAAATCTTTGTCACTGTTTCTCAAGCACATAATGTGTGACAAGGGGTTTTACTGGAACTAGGAGGATCTGTTTATGGGAAAGATAGGATATGCTAACCTGTTTGTTCTCCGAGTCCTACTAAACATAGCCTAGAGGACAGTGCATACATCTTTTAGGTCACAGGAAGGTTGTTTGGGCTAAGCTTCCGGAAAGGCAACTCCCACAGCATTCCAGTGGCAGAGTGGTCACACAGGACTCGGCATTCCAAAGTCCTACATCCCTCTCCAAAACCTTCCCTTGCTCCCAGTGGTCTCTGTGTTACATTTTAGTAAGCCAGGTATTAGGGATGATTTCATGCTCTACATTAACCCCAACAGATAGAGACTCTGTCATGAAGAGAATAATGAGAATGAGGAGTTATAAGAAGTGAGACAAGAATGCTGAGTGACGAAGACCACCAGTGGAAGTTGAAGATAATGAGCAGGGGGAATTAAGGGTAGGAAAAGTGGAGTGGAAGGCAAAGTAGTAGAGATGACTAGGGAAATCAAATGGTCTAAGCAGCTTATTTTTCCTATTTTCCTTGACACTCATAGTAGGAGCTGTTCTGTGAACATATTTACACTTATTAAAGATAGTAATGCAAGATTTCTCCCTATTTTCTGGTTTCAGAAACTTGGAAGGGAAGTTTCACGGATTTTACTGATATCTTACCCCTTGGAATTTTCTATTGCATTAACTTACTCAATCTTTGGCTGTCTTGATTTGGTAAGTGTTTATCTACTCTGGCAAGTCAAGAGTTGCTGATTTTTAGCACATACACTCTATAAGGAGATGATACAATATGTTAAAACTCATGAAAATGGGATATGTCACAATATTTCCTTTATTTATTTTTATTGTTTATAAAGTTACAAAAATTATACATGAAACTATAAAGTAAAATTATAGAGTAAAAATTATTGTCCCTCTTACTGTAGTCCTCATCATACCCACACATCCAAATCTAAACAAAAAGACACAAACACACACACAGACACACTATACACAGTTTTCTTGTTTACTAATTGTGTAATCATATTCATGTTGTTTGTCACATGATTTTTCCCAACTATCATAAACATCTTTTCATTACAAAACAAAACAATGCCTTTTAGTAGCATCATATTTTTCCTTAGTATTTATTTTGACTTTTTTTCTTGCTGCATCTTTGGCTTTTTTTCATTTTGTTTTTTTTATTATAAACAACGATCTTTACATGTAAGACTAGTATTTCTGTAGGTAGTTGATTCCTAGAAGTGTAATGACAAGTTTGAAACACCCCTAAATGCTGTAATAATCCACAGTACCACAAAAGTTTATGAGTATGATTATTTTATACAAGTTTTAAATAAAACTAGATATCAGGGTGCCTGGGTAGCTCAATTGGTTAAGGCAACTCTTGATTTCCAATCAGGTCATGATCTCAGGGTCATGAGATAGAAGCCTGCATAGGGCTCTGCACTACATGTGGAGCCTGCTTAAGATTCTGTCTCTCTTTTTCTGCTGCTCTCCATCTCGCTCTTGCATGCTATGCTCTTTCTCTCTCAAGAAAAAGAAAAAAGAAACTAGATATCTACACATTCATTCTTCCACAAATATTTATGGAGGGCCTACTATTTCCTAGGCATTGTAATAGGCACTAAGGATGCAATCATTAACAAGAAAACATCCCTGCCATCAGGAAGTTTTCTTTTCAGTGGAGGAGAAGGACAATTAACAAGTAAATATATATCTGTATTTATGTGTGTATAAATTATAATCAATGATGCTTACATGTAAGACTAGTAAATATTTGGATTGGATTAAAGTTCACCCTAATGATTTTATTATGACTTCATTACTGTTTTATAAAGACTCGATCTCCAAATAGCGTCAAATTTTGAGGCACTGGGAGTTAGGACTTTAACATATGAACTTTAGGGGGACACAGTAAAGCCCTTTACATAGTGTTTAAGTACAACCTCTGACTAGTCATTGGTGCCTACTTATGCTGACCAGGGGAGAACGCCATTAAACGGATCTTAAAAACAAAAACATCAGGGCGCCTGGGTGGCTCAGTGGGTTAAAGCCTCTGTCTTCAGCACTGGTCATGGTCCCAGGGTCCTGGGATCAAGCCCCGCATCGGGCTCTCTGCTCAGCCTGCTTCCTCCTCTCTCTCTGCCTGCCTCTGTGTCTACTTGTGATCTCTGTAAAATAAATAAATAAAATCTTTAAAACAAAAACAAAAACCATGAATTTAAAAAAATGAAAAACATAAGTAAATATATCAAAGGCCACACACTGCAAGGGACACAGGCTCCACAAAATTAGTACAGGCAAGTCACAAAAGGCAGTTATAACAACCACTTTGGGGGAAAAATAAGAGAATCAGAATCCAGAGTCTCTACAATATCTTATCTAAAATATCCATTTTTCAACAACAACAAAAATAATGACATGCAAAGAACAGGAAATGGTGACATATACACTTAAAAAAACAGTAGCTACAGTTTTGGGGGGGAAGAGAATGACAAATGTTGGGCTTCACAAAGACTTCAAAGAACTAAAGAAAAAAGTGTTAAAAAATTAACATGTTAATTAACATTACAAATAATGATTCCTCAAACAAGAGTATGAATGTCTATTACCTTGATTCTGGTGATGGTATCATAGTGTTCATATATGTTTAAATTTGTTTAATTGCACCCATTTAATACATACAGTTCTTTGTATAACAGTTATACCTCAATAAAGCTATTAATTTTTAATAAGTATTAATATAAATAAAAGAGATACTAATTATTAAAAAGAACCAAATGGAAATCCACTTTAGAAATACAGTTTCTGAAATGAAAAACCCACCAGAGGGGCTGAGTAGCAGATTTGTGCTGACAGAAGACAAAATTAGTAAACATGATAGAATGATACAGATCATCCAATCTGAAGAACAGGAAATAAAAAGAAGAAGAATTAATAACACCTCAGAGATCTTTGGGATACCACCCAATACACCAACATATGCATAATGAGAATCCCAGAAAATGAGGGAACAGGAAAAATACTTGAAGAAATAATGGCCAAAATTTTCCTAAATTTGACAAAAAATATTCTGCATAAGTAAGAAACTCAATAACCTCCAATTAGAATAAACACAAAGATACTCACTCCTAGACACCTGAGAACCAAACTGAACTAAAAAAGAGGGAAAATCTTAAAAGCAGCAAGAGAAGAATGATTTCTTATACAATAGAACCACAGTAAGATTAACAGATAACTTCTCATCAACAACAGAGACCTGAAGGCAATGATATGGCACGTCAAAGTGTTGGAGGAAAACAGTCAAGCATGAATTCTGTATCTTTTAACCATTCAAACATAGAGGGCAAATAAAGACATACAGAGATGAGCAGAAAGAGAATGCATGGCTAGGAGAACTGCCTTGCAAGAAACACTAAAGGAAGTTCTTTAGTCTGAAAAGAAGTGGTATCCGATAGAACTCAAAAACACATGAAGAAATAACATCATTAAAGGTAATTATTGCAGATGACTATAAAAAATATATAAATATACCTTTTGTGCTTCTCTTAGCTGATTGAAAAGACAATTGCATAAATTGCATTGGGTCCACCCAGATAATCCAAAATTAACTCCTTATTTTAAAGTCATGTTATTACCAACCTTAATTCCATCTGTCACAACTACTTATTTTAAAGTCATGTTATTACCAACCTTAATTCCATCTGTCACAACTACTCAGCTCTACCTTATAGCTTGAAAGCAGCCATAGACAATATATAAATGAATAGATATGGCTTTGTTTCAATTGAACTTTACAAAACAGTTAGTGGACTCGATTGGGTCCATATTCCAGAGTTTGCCAACCCCTGTTCTATAGATATATATTCCCTTTTTCCTGAAATAACTTTATAAAATTAAAAATTACAGCACTGTATTGTTGAGTACATAACATCTAGGTGTACTGTATATGACAGTAATAGCACAAAGGAAGGTGGAAGGATTGAGCTACATGAGAATGAAGTTTCTATATTTTACTGGAATTAAAGTAGCAGGCACCTGAAGCAGTCTGTGATAAATTAAGATGCACATTCTAATTCCTAGACTAAGAACTAAAAACTAAGAACACTCAAAAATATAATAAGATAACAAAGAAATTAAGATATCTAGAAAGTAATAATAGGCAAAGGAGGAACATAAAAGACACAAGACCTATAGAAATTTAAAAGCAAGGTATTAGGCATAAATCCAGCCATTTCAATAACACTAAAATAAAACCACACTGAGATATTCATTTCCTAACAGAATGATTAAGTTTCAAAATACAATTCTAACTGATGATAATGCTGATGGATAAAAGAAATCTCTCACTCCTACTTGGAATTTAAATTATTACAACAACTTCAAAAACTTTTGGGGCATTTTTATGGAAAGTTAAGATGTGCATACCTTATAAGTAATTTTAGTTTTTAGCATATACCCAAAAGAAATGTGTATGCATATGTATTAAGATACACTTCCAGGAAAATACCAATTGTATTCATAATAGTCCCAAAGTGGAAACGCTGCAAATGGGTGAATGGTGAGTATATTGAAGTATATAACTCTGTTAAATTCTGCATAGTAATTAAAATGAACTATACCTGTACTTACAATAAGGATGATTCTCACATACATAATGTTAAGTATAGACAGACCCAAAGAATGCATACTTTATGATTCCATTCAGATGAAGTTTGAAACCAGGCAAAACTAATGCTCAACTACAATGTTTACAGAGGGATACAAGCTAGTAAAACTGGAAAGAAAAGAAAAGATTAATTACCTAAAAGTAAAAGTTAAAAAAAAAAAAAAGTTACTTTTGGAAGGAAGAAATGGGTAATAACTGGGAAATATCATGAAAGGGTAACTTTTGGGGTGCTGGCATCTGATCATGTTCAAGAAGAATTTTTTGTTGTTGTTATAGTTTGGAAGTATACCAAAAAGTCACAAGTGTCTGGGGTCCCTGTGTGGCTCAGTTGGTTGAGCATCCAACTGTTGATTTCAGGTCAGGTTGATCTCAGGGTTGTGAGTTCAAGCCTCATGCTGGGCTCCACACTGGGTGTGGAGCCTACTTAAAAAAAAAAGTTTCAAATGTCTAGTAGGAATTAAGGGGGTAGTTTGAAGTACAGTTGGGACACATGGCATTTTAACATTTTATTCTATAAACATCAGTACCATTTATTTTTTTAAAAAATTAAGTATTTGTTACATGTATGATCTTAGGAAGAATGATAAGATTTATAAGAAGTTAATTTTTTTTTCAGAGTCATCATCATGATGAAGATACTCTCACAGCTGTTACAGAGGAAGCTGAGAGCACTTTTTAAAAACCTTAGAAATGTGAGATTTCTCCTGGGGCTCATACCTGACGTGGGCCCTAATGATATCCCTGCATAACAAGGCTGCTACAAAGCCCACAGGTTTTGTGCAAAAGAAAATACAAACAAGTTGGATTTTTCTTCTTGGTATTCAAGAAATTTCTCTGCACATATTTTTGTAGGCTCCAAGTAGAAAGCTTTTCCCTACTTAAATATATTATTACAAGGAGAAATTTATTTTCTAGGTACTCTGTACCTGTCAACTCTGTGTAACTCTAAAGCTGCCAACTCTCCCTAATAGAGCTTTTGCAAAAGACCATAAAAAAAGATTTGTGATTGTCTCTAGAGGACAGGCAAAATGTCTCTAGAGTACAGGCAGTAAAGACTTGGAGCACAATACTGTGTAATTCCCAGGAAAACTTTAAATAATTTATGCCCCTACAAGTGAAGAGTACATTTCAGAATGAGTTCTTCTACCTGAACTAGCTTCTACCTGAACAAAGTACAAATCAAAAATCATCCAACTCATAATCCTTTCATTGTTCTTCTTTGACTACTCCTCTCCTCATTAAAGTTCCTTTCTGCCCTGAAAGTCTCTACTGTCTTCCTTCCCTTTCATTTCCCTTGCTTATTACTTCTTACCATTGCTTTGACCAATCTGTTCAATTGTCTTTCAAAGCAAACGAGTGGCTTTTCCATAATAAGGAGAATTTCCCAAAAACCTGTTCTGAATTCAGATTCTACCTCTCGTCTAATAGGAAACAGAGTGCCAGAAAGCCTTGCTCAGCAGTATTAATCATATCACTGAGTTCATCCAGATCTTTTAAATGTGCTGCTGTTTTTTGTTGTGTTTTTTGTTTTTTTTTTTTAATTTTCTGCCTTGTCTCTCAATTGGTTTCATCAGTTGTTATCTAATACTGCAAAAAATTTCATGGGTCTAAGAATTTCAGTGGTTAACTTACATCTATCAGTTCAACACATATTGAGTGTCTTCCGGTGTGCCAATGACTATATTAAAGTCAGGAGTATCAAAGATTAATGAGCATCCTCACCACAAAGAGTTTTTGTTTTAGGAGAAGAAACAAACAGGTAACAAATCAAGACTATGCAGTGTGATACATATATTAACATAAGTATGAAGAAAATTGAAGTGGCACAGAAGAGATAACAGTCCTTTTGTTAGAAAACAAGAGGGAGAGGGACTAACGCTTTATGATGGATACAGCCTCTCAGCAGGGGATTAATTCTAGTTTACAAAGCAGACTGGAAGGTGGGAAAACAATCAAATAAAATTAGCTCATGCAAAACCCAAAATGTGGGAAAAGGTCATAGTATATTCCAGTAGCTAAAATAAATATATTCATTAAAACACAATGACAGGAAGGAATAGGTCAAGTGAAAATTGGAGAGGTAAGAAGCCAGATGCTAAGTCAAATCATCAAATATTGATGGACTGATGACTGTGTTGTACTGAACCATATCCTGCAGGGAATGGAAAGCCCTTAAGGAGTTTTTAAGTAGGGAATGATAGGCTTGGATTTACTTTGAGGAAAATTTATTAATTAGGTGGAAATGCTTTAGAAAGGATAAATTTGATAAGAATAGCTAGAGTGTAGGAGAGAGTAATGGATCACTGTTGCAATGAGTCAGACAAGCAATGAAAAAGGGTAAGTTTTAGCTGTGATGACTGAGCAGACATAACTATAAAAGGAAAAAAATAATCTTAACTCCCCAGTTCCTGGATTGAGTGATACCTACAGTGATACAAAATGTGTAAGACATGGGAGGATTGAATGAACTGTGATAAGTTCTGTTTTGGATACACTGAATTTGAGATAATTAGGAGACATTAAAGTAGAGCTATCTATTAGGTAGTTGAAATACTTACCTGGGGTTGAATAAAATACCTGGGGTTGAATAAAAATTAGCTATATGTTGATTGATTTTGGTGGTAAAGATGTAGAAATGAGCTTCCATTTTCAACAATTAAGAACTAGGTTCTTGGAAAGAACACAACAAAAGCAAGCCAGAATTTTAAAACACCATCTGTTGGAGGGTATCTGAGATCTAGGATTTATGGGAGCTAGGATTTAAGGAGTCAAGTTTCCAGAGTTGAAGACAAGATACAGTCCAGGCTTTCGACATAGCTTTTCTCCAAGATGCATTTCCTGAATCACAAACAGGAGCACTGGGTATTATACACAGTGAATCATGGAACACTACATCAAAAACTAATGATGTATATGGTCTGGTGACTAACATAATGTAACAAAAATTTTAAAAGGTGAGAAGAGCTTCCAGTGTTTTTTTGGGTTGTAAAGACAATTAATTGGAGCTCAGGCTCACTGAAGTGTGAGAAACTCATAAACACCTAAAATTTTCTGTTGTGTTCTCTCCAAGGGCTATATCCTAACGGTAAAGGTGAGAAAAAGTGGGCCTTCCCTCTCATAGACTGATGCTTGGACCCAAATCAGCTAGGTTACAGATTGTAATAAAGTGAGCTTCTCCATATGTGATATTTTGCCAAAGTAAAATTTTCAAGAGGAAGATAGCGTTGTCCTGAGCATCAAGACAGTTTTTCATACACAGTGTCAGATTTCATCAAATCAAGAGTTTAAAGAAAAAAATTAACAGAAGTCCAAGAGAAACCACAGGCCCACAATAGATCCAAGTAACAGAATTATAAAACCTTAAATGACAAGATTTTAGCAGAGAAATGGAAATCACAAAGATGAATCAAATGGAAATGAGAAATCACATAAAATAAGATCCAAATATATGAATGTAACAGCTACTAGATATAACTGATGATAAAATCAGTGAGCTAAAAGATAAAATGGAAGGAAAAATCAGCCTTGAGCATTCAGAAAATGTAATGTGGAAGGAAAAGAATAAGATACAGATGGCCTTGAAAAGTTCTAATACCACATATTTGAAATTTCGTGAGAGTAGAGGTTAAAAACAAGTAATACTCGAAGAGATTATGTCCTGGAAATTTAACCAAGTTGATTAAAAAAATAAATAATAGATTCAAGAAAGGTTCTAATCCTAAACTAAGCAAATACATCACACATCATAGTGAAACTGCATGAAACTAGCCAGAGAGAACAGTCTTAACCAAAGAGGTAAAGGATCTGTACTCGAGGAACTTCAGAACACTCATGAAAGAAATTGAAGAAGACACAAAAAGATGCAAGACCATTCCATGCTCTTGGATCAGAAGAATAAACATTGTTAAAATGTCTATACTGCCTAGAGCAATCTATACTTTTAATGCCATTCTGATCAAAATTCCACCGGTATTTTTCAAATAGCTGGAGCAAATAATCCTAAAATTTGTATGGAATCAGAAGAGACCCCAAATTGCTAAGGAAATGTTGAAAAACAAAAATAAAGCTGGCGACATCACGTTACCTGATTTCAAGCTTTACTACAAAGCTGTGATCACCAAGACAGCATGGTACTGGCATAAAAACAGACACATAGACCAGTGGAACAGAGTAGAGAGCCCAGATATGGACCCTCAACTCTATGGGCAAATAATCTTCGACAAAACAGGAAAAAATACACCGTGGAAAAAAGACAGTCTCTTCAATAAATGGTGCTGGGAAAATTGGACAGCTATATGTAGAAGAATGAAACTTGACCATTCTCTTACATCGTACACAAAGATAAACTTGAAATGGATAAAAGACCTCGACGTGAGACAGGAATCCATCAGAAACCTAGAGGAGAACATAGGCAGTAACCTCTTTGATATCAGCCACAGCAACTTCTTTCAAGATATGTCTCCAAAGGCAAAGGAAACAAAAGCTAAAATGAACTTTTGGGACTTCATCAAGATCAAAAGCTTCTGCACAGCAAAGGAAACAGTCAACAAAACAAAGAGGCAACCCACGGAATGGGAGAAGATATTTGCAAATGACAGTACACACAAAAGGTTGATATCCAGGATCTATAAAGAACTCCTCAAACTCAACATACAGAAAACTGATAATTATATCAAAAAATGGGCAGAAGATACGAACAGACACTTCTCCAATGAAGACATACAAATGGCTATCAGACGCATGAAAAAATGTTCATCATCACTAGCCATCAGGAAGATTCAAATTAAAACCACATCGAGATACCACCTCACACCAGTTAGAATGGCCAAGATTAGCAAGACAGGAAACAACATGTATTGGAGGGGATGTGGAGAAAGGAGAACCCTCTTACACTGTTGGTGGGAATGCAAGTTGGTGCAGCCACTTTGGAGAACAGTGTGGAGATTCCTTAAGAAATTAAAAATAGAGCTTCCCTATGACCCTGCAATTGCACTACTAGGTATTTACCCCAAAGATACAGATGTAGTGAAAAGAAGGGCCATCTGTACCCCAATGTTTATAGCAGCAATGGCCACGGTCGCCAAACTGTGGAAAGAACCAAGATGCCCTTCAATGGACGAATGGATAAGGGAGATGTGGTCCATATACACTATGGAGTATTATGCCTCCATCAGAAAGGTTGAATACCCAACTTTTGTAGCAAAATGGATGGGACTGGAAGAGATTATGCTGAGTGAAATAAGTCAAGCAGAGAGAGTCAGTTATCATATGGTTTCACTATTTGTGGAGCATAACAAATAGCATGGAGGACAAGGGGAGTTAGGAGAAGGGAGTTGAGGGAAATTGGAAGGGGAGGTGAACCATGAGAGACTATGGACTCTGAAAAACAATCTGAGGGTTTTGAAGGGCTGGGGGGTGGGAGGTTGGGGGAACCAGGTGGTGGGTATTGGAGAGGGCACGGATTGCATGGAGCACTGGGTGTGATGCAAAACCAATGAATACTGTTATGCTGAAAATAAATTTTAAAAATTAAAAAAAAATAATGCATAAGACAATTCAAAAAAAAAGTTGGTGAGGAGAAAAGAAATTTTACTTTCAAGGAACAGTGATAAAAGAGAATGGCAGCTGATTTGTTAACAAAAACAATAAATGCCAAAAGTCATTAACACTGAACTGAAAAGTTCAGGAAGTGTTCTGAAGACAAAAGGGAAAGGATCCCACATGGAAACTTGAAGAAGGAAAAAAAATGGAATAGGATAAATATCTGATAAAGATAAATGAATGTGCCCATATAAATAATAACTTCTAGGCATACTAAAACATTTAGAAAAGAACTGAAACAGCACAAGACAGGTGGTAAATGGAGCTAAAGTGTTGTAGGGTCCTTACCTTAAAGAACTGATTTATAGGGGTGCCTGGGTGGCTCAGTGGGTTAAGCCGCTGCCTTCGGCTCAGGTCATGATCTCGGGGTCCCGGGATCGAGCCCCACATCGAGCTCTTTGCTCAGCGGGGAGCCTGCTTCTCTCTCTCTCTCTGCCTGCCTCTCTGCCTATCTGTGATCTTTCTCTGTCAAATAAATAAATAAATAAGTAAATAAATTAATTAATTAAAAAAATAAAAATAAATTAAAAAAAGAACTGATTTATAACAGCCCTTAATAAGTTGAGGTACAGTGCATGCTATAATCTCTAATCACTAAAAGAATAATAAAAGAGTGTATAACAACCTAATAATTTAAAAAACTGATTTAATATGAG